CATGTAAAACATACAAGAAGAAAAATATTACATCCCAGTGGGAAGGATTCCTCCATCCACTTCTCTGTTAGTTCCCCACCCCCTTCCCCGGCTGAATAAAAAATTGAGCCTTGAATAATCATCTTTACTTTACCACTATGCATACCTTTATCTGGGTCAGTGACTCTGGGGGTTATTCACTAAAAGTGTAGAGTGCAAAATCGGGTACAGCTCTGCATAGAAACCACTCAGTTTCCAGATTTTATTATCAAGGCTTAATTGAATAAGCTGAAGTTAGAAGCTGATTGGCTACCATGCACAACTGCACCAGATTCTGAATGCACCAGGTTTAGTAAATATCCCCACATGTCAGCATAATAGCCAGTCAACTAAGGTTTCAGAAAAATCAATAATAGAAGTCTTCATGTTTATTTACATTAATGGTTTTCAGTAAACATGAAAAGAGCAAACTGAGTTATAGAAATGTAGATATAACGTGAACTACACTGTCCGTGAATTTCGAGGTTACAACTTTTTTCTTCAGAAATAGTACCCCACACTCATTAGCATGGGGGGACAGTATCTGGGGGCCCGCAGGGCCCATGAGGGCATGTGACCTGATATGGTTCAGAAGGGGGTTTGCACGCTCACCCTCCACCCCCACCCCCCTTCCTGGCTAGCCTGGCTGCATGCTCAGATTAAGGGTTTGGCATGGATAGTTAGGGGAACCTCACACATTTTTTCTGTTTTTTTTTTTTTTTTGCCAGAGGTACCCCCCTTAAAAACCACATCAGACTCAAATGGTCTGGTATGTATTTTAAGGGGGGACTCTACGTCATTTTGTTATTCTTGCAGTAGGATGTCCTACAACAAAAAGGAAAAAAATCTATACAATTTAAATTGTGGGCAAATGACATTCATTGCCAGGTTCTCTTAAAAAAAAAAGTTGTCAATGACAGCTGTCCAAGTAATTTGCCAACCATTTTAAAACTCTTTTCCTTTGTAAATGTTGGTGCTGCTGCAGCACTTTCAGTACAACAAAGACATTCGCCTCTAGATACTGCCTCCCTATGTGAATGATAAAGGGTTACATGGTACCACTACTCATTAACAAAAAAAGTTAAATAGTAAACATAGACATTCATTTTTGATAAACCCTTTATTTAAAAAAAGTCACACAATATAAATCCGCCATCAACCATTTAACCAATCACAATGGATAACACCCATTGACATCCCTTTGTTTACATTCCTCTGACAGCTAGGAATTCCTCACTTACAGTTGCATGAGCCAAGAGGAGATATGTCACTGATTATTAGGAGGCTGCTGTCTCCCTAACTGCGAGGAGCCCAGAATGGAAATTCAAAAAGCAGAGGAGATAAGGGGGGATTATGATCAACATGTAAAAATACATCATTGCTTCATATAGTGAACTCGGTGTAGTGTTTTTCACCTTAAGGTCATCACTAGAGATGAGCGAAGTATTCAAAAATTCGATTCGGCTGATTCGGCGAATTCGAGGAATAAATTCGATTCGAGGCGAAATATTCGCGTGCGAATTTAACTTATAAAAGTGTGTTTCTAGGCTTCAAGCAGAGAGCCTTTATATTAGTGCAGAACACTGTACCTTTAATTTAAATGCCCTTGGAGTCTGCTGGGGAAGAGAAATAATACTGTCAGTCAGTATGACATGCATTTGAGTGCCGTCGATCTTCATAGAATCAAACCGCACCACTTCACTCATTTGGGCAGTCACGGGCCAAAACCAGAGTGTGGAGCCACAGTGTGGCGTGGAGGCAGCAGCAATGGGAGGCCCGTAATCTGCCAGCACCCTATGACAAAATGGAACACACCAGCAGTGTGAGGAGACCTGAAAGTGGCACATGGCAGAGTGTGGGCGATGGAGACAGCAGCAATGGGAGGCCGTAACAGGGACCCATGACACACTCTGGACCTGGCAGCAGCATGAGGAGGTGGTACGCGGGGCCCATGGCAGATTACGGGCCTGGCAGCAGCAATGGGAGGCCCGTAATCTGCCAGCACCCTATGACAAAATGGAACACGCCTCCAACTTCAATCTCCCCTCCGCCACACCAGCAGTGTGAGGAGACCTGAAAGTGGCACATGGCAGAGTGTGGCGATGGAGACAGCAGCAATGGGAGGCCGTACAGGGACCCATGACACACTCTGGACCTGCAGCAGAATGAGGAGGCGGTACAGGGGCCCATGGCAGATTACGGGCCTGGCAGCAGCAATGGAGGCCCGTAATCTGCCAGCACCCTATGACAAAAATGGAACCCACCAGCAGTGTGAGGAGACCTGAAAGTGGCACATGATTATGGGGCATGATTCATGGCGGATTTAGTCAGTTGTGTCAGGAACTGGTGGTTTGAAATCCAGACTAATCCACGCCTGATTCATTTTCACAAACGTGAGTCTCTCCACACTTTGGGTGGACAGTCGTGTTCCTCCGCGGAGTTACAATACCTCCTGCCGCACTAAACACGCGCTCCGATGCCACGCTACTGGCCGGGCATGACAGCCTTTCAAGGGCAAATATCAGCTAGTTGGGGCCAAAGGTCAAGTTTCGTTGCCCAGTAGTCAAGGGGATTGTCTACCTCGGTTGGCAGGGTGCTGTCCAAGTAGGCCCAAGCCTGTTGTTTGAGGTCCTGCTCCAGGTCCACCCTGATGCTGCTGCTGCTGCGGCTGGTTAGTAGATTTTCCTCACTGCACTGGTGAAGAAAGCTACTCATCATCGACTGCAGACTGAGGCAGCCGCTGCTGGTGGAGCTGCCACTGCTCCTACCACCCCAAACCTCCCCTGCTGCCATGGCAGCAGAACGCGAGCGCACAGGGCCCACAGTGTCTGAGGATGGACGTTGGCGCAGAAAGGCAGAGACCAACTGACTACATAGGTGGTTTTTATAGTACTTTATTTTGGCCTCCCTCTCAGCAGGTGTGAAAAAGGCCACCATTTTTGAACGGTAGCGAGGGTCCAACAAGGAGGACAGCCAAAAGTCATCCCTCTGTCTGATGGTTATTATTCGGCTGTCGCTACGCAAGCAACCGAGCATGCTATGGGCCATTTGTGCCAAGGAATGCGAGGGACTACCCTGCCTCCATCTCCACAGCATACTACCACGGTGCGTCTGGGTCCTCTGTCTCCTCCTCCTCCTCCTCTACCAGATGCTCCTGCTCCTCCACTCCTGTCCGCTGAGTGGAAAAACCACCCATTTCACTCAATAATTCCTGAGCACCAATGTCCTCCTCTACCTCCTCCTCTTCTTCCTGTCCTGCCCCCACAGGGGTCATGTGGCGTTGAGATCTGTGCGCCACGTCTACCGCACCCTGACCAGCCATTGTTAACAGCATTTGTTCCAGGACGTGCAACAGAGGAATGACGTCGTTCATCCCATAGTCCTGCCGACTCACAATAGCGTGGCCTCCTCAAAGGGCCTGAGCAAGCGGCAGGTGTCACGCATGAGCTGCCAATGGCTGACATCGAAGTTACACAGGGGAGTAACTTTAATCCGCTTGTAACATCAGGAAATCGGTGATGGCCTTTCACTGTTTCGTAAAGGCGGTCTAACATATGTAGGGTTGAATTCCACCTTGTTGCAACGTCACAGCATGAGGAGTCGGTACGGGGGCCCATGGCAGATTACGGGCCTGGCAGCAGCAATGGGAGGCCCGTAATCTGCCAACACCCTATGAAAAAATGGAACCCCACCAGCAGTGTGAGGAGACCTGAAAGTGGCACATGGCAGAGTGTGGCGATGGAGACAGCAGCAATGGGAGGGCCGTACAGGGACCCATGACACACTCTGGACCCTGGCAGCAGCATGAGGAGGCGGTACAGGGGCCCATGACAGATCACGGGCCTGGCAGCAGCATGAGGAGTCGGTACGGGGGCCCATGGCAGATTACGGGCCTGGCAGCAGCAATGGAGGCCCGTAATCTGCCAGCACCCTATGACAAAATGGAACACACCAGCAGTGTGAGGAGACCTGAAAGTGGCACATGGCAGAGTGTGGCGATGGAGACAGCAGCAATGGGAGGCCGTACAGGACCCATGAGAGACTCTGGACCTGGCAGCAGCATGAGGAGGCGGTACGGGGCCCATGGCAGATTATGGGCCTGGCAGCAGCAATGGGAGGCCCGTAATCTGCCAGCACCCTATGACAAAATGGAACACACCAGCAGTGTGAGGAGACCTGAAAGTGGCACATGGCAGAGTGTGGCGATGGAGACAGCAGCAATGGGAGGCCGTACAGGGACCCATGAGAGACTCTGGACCTGGCAGCAGCATGAGGAGGCGGTACAGGGGGCCCATGGCAGATTACGGGCCTGGCAGCAGCAATGGGAGGCCCGTAATCTGCCAGCACCCTATGACAAAATGGAACCCACCAGCAGTGTGAGGAGACCTGAAAGTGGCACATGGCAGAGTGTGGCGATGGAGACAGCAGCAATGGGAGGCCGTACAGGGACCCATGAGACACTGTGGACCTGGCAGCAGCATGAGGAGGCGGTACGGGGGCCCATGGCAGATTACAGGGCCTGGCAGCAGCAATGGGAGGCCCGTAATCTGCCAGCACCCTATGACAAAATGGACAGCACCAGCAGTGTGAGGAGACCTGAAAGTGGCACATGGCAGAGTGTGGCGATGGAGACAGCAGCAATGGGAGGCCGTACAGGGACCCATGAGACACTCTGGACCTGGCAGCAGCATGAGGAGGCGGTACGGGGGCCCATGGCAGATTAGGGCCTGGCAGCAGCAATGGGAGGCCCGTAATCTGCCAGCACCCTATGACAAAATGGAACACACCAGCAGTGTGAGGAGACCTGAAAGTGGCACATGGCAGAGTGTGGTGCATATGGAGACAGCAGCAATGGGAGGCCGTACAGGGACCCATGAGACACTGTGGACCTGGCAGCAGCATGAGGAAGGCGGTACGGGGGCCCATGGCAGATTACGGGCCTGGCAGCAGCAATGGGAGGCCCGTAATCTGCCAGCACCCTATGACAAAATGGAACACACCAGCAGTGTTGTGAGGAGACCTGAAAGTGGCACATGGCAGAGTGTGGCGATGGAGACAGCAGCAATGGGAGGCCGTACAGGACCCATGAGAGACTCTGGACCTGGCAGCAGCATGAGGAAGGCGGTACGGGGGCCCATGGCAGATTACGGGCCTGGCAGCAGCAATGGGAGGCCCGTAATCTGCCAGCACCCTATGACAAAATGGAACCCACCAGCAGTGTGAGGAGACCTGAAAGTGGCACATGTTTGGGGCATGATTCATGGCGGATTTAGTCAGTTGTGTCAGGAACTGGTGGTTTGAAATCCAGACTAATCCACGCCTGATTCATTTTCACAAACGTGAGTCTCTCCACACTTTGGGTGGACAGTCGTGTCCTCCGCGGAGTTTACAATACCTCCTGCCGCACTAAACACGCGCTCCGATGCCACGCTACTGGCCGGGCATGACAGCCTTTCATGGCAAATTCAGCTAGTTGGGGCCAAAGGTCAAGTTTTGTTGCCCAGTAGTCAAGGGGATTGTCTACCTCGGTTGGCAGGTGCTGTCCAAGTAGGCCCAAGCCTGTTGTTTGAGGTCCCTGCTCCAGGTCCACCTGATGCTGCTGCTGCTGCGGCTGGTTAGTAGTTTCCTCACTGCGCTGGTGAAGAAAGCTACTCCATCATCGACTGCAGACTGAGGCAGCCGCTGCTGGTGGAGCTGCCACTGCTCCTACCACCCCACCCCTCCCCTGCTGCCATGGCAGCGGAACGCGAGCGCACAGGGCCCACAGTGTCTGAGGATGATGGACGTTGGCGCAGAAAGGCAGAGACCAACTGACTACATAGTGTGGTTTTTATAGTACGTTATTTTGCCTCCCTCTCAGCAGGTGTGAAAAAGGCCACCATTTTTGAACGGTAGCGAGGGTCCTAACAAGGTGGACAGCCAAAAGTCATCCCTCTGTCTGATGGTTATTATTCGGCTGTCGCTACGCAAGCAACCGAGCATGCTATGGGCCATTTGTGCCAAGGAATGCGAGGGACTCCCCTGCCTCCATCTCCACAGCATACTGCCACGGTGCATCTGGGTCCTCTGTCTCCTCCTCCTCCTCCTCTACCAATGCTCCTGCTCCTCCACTCCTGTCCGCTGAGTGGAAAAACCACCCTTTCACTCAATAATTCCTGAGCACCAATGTCCTCCTCTACCTCCTCCTCTTCTTCCTGTCCTGCCCCCACAGGGTCATGTGGCGTTGAGATCTGTGCGCCACGTCTACCGCACCCTGACCAGCCATTGTTAACAGCATTTGTTCCAGGACGTGCAACAGAGGAATGACGTCGTTCATCCCATAGTCCTGCCGACTCACGAATAGCGTGGCCTCCTCAAAGGGCCTGAGCAAGCGGCAGGTGTCACGCATGAGCTGCCAATGGCTGACATCTAAGTTACACAGGGGAGTACCTTTATCCGCTTGTAACATCAGGAAATCGGTGATGGCCTTTCGCTGTTCGTAAAGGTGATCTAACATGTGTAGGGTTGAATTCCACCTTGTTGCAAAGTCGCAGATCAGGCGATGCTGTGGAATTCCGTTCTGCTGCTGCAGCTCAAGGAGGGTGTGCTTTGCGGTGTAGGAATGGCTGAAATGCATGCAAAGTTTACGTGACATTTTAAGGATGTCTTGCAGTGGGATGGTGGATTTTTAGAAACCGCTTGACAACCAGATTGAACACGTGAGCCAGCAGCATGGCGCATGGCACAACCTTCCTTGACGCAGAGCAGACACCATGTTCTTTCCGTTGTCGGTCAACATGGTTCCGATTTTCAGTTTGCGCGGAGACAGCCATCTGTCGATTTCTCTGTTCATTACACTCAGAAGTTCCTCCCCTGTGTGACAAAACGTTCGCCAAGGCATACCAGGTGCAGCACAACGTGACACCGTTGCGCCCTGCACATGTGATATGCCGGTCGGGTAATGGGAGGCCGTACTCGGGGGGGGGGTGGCGGCTGAGGACACGGCGGAAGAAGAGGTGGTAGAGGCGGACATCTTTGCCGGACCAAGGACGTGCAAACGTGGAGGCAAAAGCGGCGTGACCTGTCCAAGTTGCTGGTGCGGCTGTGACGGTACCACGTTCACCCAGTGGGCCGTAAATGACATGTACTGTCCCTGACCGTAGTTACAGCTCCCACACGTCGGCGCTGCCGTGCACTTTGGCAGAGACCGACATGCTCAAAGACTGGCCCACCATCTCTTCTACATGTGAATGCAGGGCTGGCACTGCCTTTTTGGCGAAGAAATGCCGGCTTGGCACTCTCCACCGTGGCGCGGCACAAGCCATCATTTCTCGGAAAAGGTGCTGAGTCCACCACTTGGAAAGGGAGGGACTGCAGCACCAGCAACTTGGACAGGAGGACGTTCAGCTTTTGCACCGTCGGGTGCGTGCTCGCAAACTGTTGTCTCTTGGAAACGGATTCCAAGAAAGACTGCTGAGGAATCCGTGAAGAGGAGTAGCAGGAGAGTGAGCATCTGAACGAGCGGAAGAGCCAACGAGCGACAACTCCCTCAGCAGAGGTGTTGGAGCCTTGACTGGCTGATAGAGGCGATTGACGTCGGGGTGACGGAGCAGAGTAACGGAGCGGGTGATGGAGCGGGGGCTGGGGCGGGCAGGAACCGCCGTATCTTTATCACGGTTTTCCCAGGAACCCCACCACGGTGGGGGGGGGGGGGAAAATGGCGACGTTGCATATGCTGACAATGGCAACGCTGTAGTCCCCAACATGGGCCCCCTGGCCACGCTTGGGGCCCAAGCGACTTTCTGGCCACATAGTCGACATACGGCTACGTTTACTTCCTCGGGCGGCTTGACGAAAAATTGCCACACCGCCGAGTAGGAAACTTTGCCCCCGCTACTCCTCACTGGCTGACTGCTATCTCCTCCTCCGTGCACACCGGCACCACTACTGGCCGTGGTGGTAGGCTGCTGGCTGTGGAGCTGGTGCTCTACTCCGTGGCCCATTTGCCTCCACTGACACTGCTGCGACCCTGCTGCCTCCTGGGCAACCCACCGACTGTTTTGCTCGCTGCCAAGCTGGCACCCTCTTCTCCTGATGATGCGGAAGCAATAGCCTGATGACGACGAGGCTGCCAAGTGCGATCAGCCTCATCATCATCAATTAGGGTCTCCGCCTCACTACTAGCCCCCTCGGCTGCGGTGGGTCAGGAGACAGACCTGTCTCAGGAGGTCCGGCTACCGAGCCACTCTCCTCGCTCCTAAAACATTGCCTCCTCTGAGCTCATCACCTCTGCTCTGGATGTCTCCCCCCGTTCCTGACCGCCCTCTTTAGCTCTTCCTCACTGTACAGTGATTCTGAGCCCACCATGAGTAACTTCGCTTGTGAGGGAACCTCAAAAACAAGGGGCAGGTAGTCCCTGAGTAACAGTGGGCTTGCTCCCCCATGTAACTAACGTGTTGTGTCTGAGTAACACCGACCGTTGGCTGTAGTGTCAGAGGTGACCTGGGAGAGGAAACGACCGAGCCAACCAATCGATGACATTCTGGGTTCGGTGGAGTAACGACTGTGTCCGCTGGATGACGACCGGGATAGCACTGGCCTCTGGCTGCGACTAGTGCTGCCCTGAGACCCCTTCCTCTGCTGCCACGTCTGCTGCTCCTCAGTGAAACATTCTCCTTGTCCCTCCTCTGCCACTCCTCTGAGTGATTCTGTGTCTCCTCAGTAAAACATTCTGTGTCCCTGAGTTAATTCTGTCATGTCCCTCAGTAACGATTCTGTGTCCCTGAGTAACACTGAGTAACAATTCTGTGTCCCTGAGTAACAATTCTGTGTCCCTGAGTAACAATTCTGTGTCCCTGAGTAACAATTCTGTGTCCCTCAGTAACAATTCTGTGTCCCTCAGTAACAATTCTGTGTCCCTCAGTAACAATTCTGTGTCTGTCCCTGCGTAACAATTCTGTGTCTGTAACAATTCCCTGAGTAACAATTCTGTGTCTGTCCCTGAGTAACAATTCTGTGTCCCTCAGTAACAATTCTGTGTCCCTCAGTAACAATTCTGTGTCCCTGAGTAACAATTCTGTGTCTGTCCCTGAGTAACAATTCTGTGTCTGTCCCTGAGTAACAATTCTGTGTCTGTCCCTGAGTAACAATTCGGTGTCCCTCAGTAACAATTCTGTGTCCCTCAGTAACAATTCTGTGTCTGTCCCTGAGTAACAATTCTGTGTCCCTCAGTAACAATTCTGTGTCCCTCAGTAACAATTCTGTGTCCCTCAGTAACAATTCTGTGTCCCTCAGTAACAATTCTGTGTCCCTCAGTAACAATTCTGTGTCTGTCCCTGAGTAACAATTCTGTGTCCCTCAGTAACAATTCTGTGTCCCTCAGTAACAATTCTGTGTCTGTCCCTGAGTAACAATTCTGTGCCCCTGAGTAACAATTCTGTGTCCCTGAGTAACAATTCTGTGTCTCTGAGTAACAATTCTGTGTCCCTGAGTAACAATTCTGTGTCCCTCAGTAACAATTCTGTGTCCCTCAGTAATAATTCTGTGTCCCTGAGTAACAATTCTGTGTCCCTCAGTAACAATTCTGTGTCCCTCAGTAACAATTCTGTGTCCCTCAGTAACAATTCTGTGTCTGTCCCTGAGTAACAATTCTGTGTCCCTGAGTAATAATTCTGTGTCCCTCAGTAACAATTCTGTGTCCCTGAGTAACAATTCTGTGTCCCTCAGTAACAATTCTGTGTCCCTCAGTAACAATTCTGTGTCTGTCCCTGAGTAACAATTCTGTGTGTCCCTCAGTAACAATTCTGTGTCTGTCCCTGAGTAACAATTCTGTGTCCCTGAGTAACAATTCTGTGTCCCTGAGTAACAATTCTGTGTCTCTGAGTAACAATTCTGTGTCCCTCAGTAACAATTCTGTGTCCCTCAGTAACAATTCTGTGTCTGTCCCTGAGTAACAATTCTGTGTCCCTGAGTAACAATTCTGTGTCCCTCAGTAACAATTCTGTGTCCCTCATTAACAATTCTGTGTCTGTCCCTGAGTAACAATTCTGTGTCTGTCCCTGAGTAACAATTCTGTGTCTGTCCCTGAGTAACAATTCTGTGTCCCTCAGTAACAATTCTGTGTCCCTCAGTAACAATTCTGTGTCCCTCAGTAACAATTCTGTGTCTGTCCCTGAGTAACAATTCTGTGTCTGTCCCTGAGTAACAATTCTGTGTCCCTCAGTAACAATTCTGTGTCCCTCAGTAACAATTCTGTGTCCCTCA